TTGTTGGAGCTAAGCAGCCACCATGAGAAAGAGTTGGCAAAAGAGCTCAGTTCAAATTGGATCTGACCAAGGAGGAGGCTCAGCAGAAGCACCTCACTGAGGACTATGAGCATAGGCTTTCCAAGCAGAGGGAAGACCTGCGGGAGTGCAAGGCCAGGTACCAGCGCCTGGAGGCTCAGCAGGCTGAGATGGTCAACCAGTTCCAGGCCATGATGCAGTCCCACTGGAATGAGGCCCTCTGGCTCTTTGCCACCAGCGGCTCTTCCCTCCAGCCTTTGCCCAAAGCCCCGTACCAGGAGGCTGAAGCAGACCCCAACTCGGAATTTCTTCCCCCCCCCTCTGATCCTCATAGAAAGACCCCAAAGGGGGAGACTCTCTGCAGCAACACAAGTGTTCATTGCACGTATCCATCCCAGGGTCCATAGTTTGAAGACCCCCTGATTTAGTGCAATATAAAAAATGGAAATAAATTTTCTGCGGACCACCAACATTTTCTAATGGGCCACCAGTTGGTGACCACTGATCTAGACTACAGTCCCGGGATACAGTATTTTCACATTCAAGTACTAACCCAGATAATACCTGTTTAGCTTGTTGATATGATCCAAGTTTGGCTAAATGTTGCTGCTTGCTGAAATGAGGATGTTGAACTTGCAGACTTACCAGAATGTCTCCAAATATTGTAGTTATAAGAGAATTATTAATCAATTCATCATGTGAAAGTGCACCACCTAATATATCAAACACTTTGCTGGATTTTTCCTCTTTATGCTGTTCTTGGTTACTGTCTCTGACCACATTCCCCTGATGAGCGTAATGAAATCGTTTACTTTGTTACAAGAATCAATAATCTGTGAACAAATCTATGTCAGTTTTACAAGCCTCAGGTTTGTGTTGCCAATCAAACTGCAAATTGGCAATTTTCAACTAATTCCCCACTGCTTTTTAATTTTTTTATTCCTCCCTTAATATTTTTATATATAATTCAAGGTAGCGAATGTACACCCCTTCCTTCTCTTTTCAATGATATATGAGGCTATTCTGTTTAATCACCCCCACTTTCAGCATCTAAACATCCGAAAATGTTTGCTTATGCTCCTGATGCCATACAACATCGCCTACATCTGGAACGCTGAACCCCCCCACTTAAAAAGTGCAGCATCCAGGTGTAAAAGGAATAACTCCCTAAGCAATGGATTATATATGATTAATGGAATAAACTGCTGGTTTGCTGGTTTTATACAATATAGTAATCCACAAACTAGTTAATATTAATGGCTGCCTTTTTACAATATACATAAGCATACACCTATGCTGTGTGTTTAGAATGCTACACAATATTTTCTATATTTTCTGGATTTGAGACTTAAAGCAACATGTATGTATGTACGTATGTATGTATATGTATACATGTAGGTAGGTGTGAGTGTTTGTATAGGTATGTGTGTGTGTGTGTGTGTGTGTATAGTCTTAAAATAAACTTTGCTTCCCCCAGCATATGACATGACAATCAACTTGACAGGTTGTTAGTTTTCTGTAGACATACAACGCATGAAAGATGCTTACTATAGATTTTTCTCCAAACATTTCGCTTCTTGTAAAATAAAAGTAGATTGCTTTCCTTAAATTTAAACATGAATCCCCCTCCTTCTTTGACAAAGAAAAAAAATCTGATTTGAAGCAGATGTGTGTGGTTTCTGCATTTAACTTTTGTTACGTTTATCAAGCCAATAGTCTTCCAAAGCGTTGGTACAGCAAAGTCTAAAAAGATGTTCAGTCCTAGGTTATAAAAAAAAAAATCAAAATGATAACTCACAAGAGGGGGTAAATGGTAAAAAGTGGCCGCTTCCATTTTCATCCTTCCTTGTTAAAATGTTTTTATTTTCCATTTTTCATTTTCATACAGTCACATATATACTGTGCATAACCGGGGCCATACATTAAACAATAATCACAGCAGTTCCTCATCAGCAATACCCCCAGAAATATAAATAAAATAATTTCCATTTTCATCCTTGTAACCATGGGCAACCTTAGTTTCTACACAGAAAGCATGGAGGAAATTGGAAAGGTTAAGGAGATTGCATCAGAAATAATATCAGAAGCTAGAATTAGAATTCTTTATTGGCCAAGTGTGATTTGACACACAAGGAATTTGTCTCCGGTGCATAAGCTCACACTGAACATACAATGATAGATCATTATCATTTTGTTGCAAAGTCGTGCCCGACCTTTCGCGACCCCATGGACGACGTTTCTCCAGGCCTTCCTGTCCTCTACCATCCTCTGGAGTCCATTTATGCTCACGTCAACTGCTTCGGTGACTCCATCCAGCCACCTCATTCTCTGTTGTCCCCTTCTTCTTCTTCTGCCCTCCATCGTTCCCAGCATGAGGCTCTTCTCCAGGGAGTCCTTCCTTCTCATCAGGTGGTCAAAGTATTTGAGTTTCCTCTTCAGGAACTGGCCTTCTAAAGAGCAGTCAGGGGTCATCTCCTCTAGGATTGATCAGTTTGATCGCCTTGCAGTCCAAGGGACTCACAGGAGTCTTCTCCAGCACCAGAGTTCAAAGGCCTCCATTCTTTGGCGCTCAGCCTATCGTTATCATAGTCATTGTAAAATATATCATAAAACATTACATACAACACTTAGTCATAGTCATGGATACTAAAGAAGCAATCAACATAAATCATACTAAGATATTAAATAAACAGTTTAACAGTATGGGAGGAGGTTTCGAAGTATTTCTAGCAGGACTACCAGATTCTAACAGCTTTGTTCCTTATGCTGGTAAACTTGCAAGATTCGTTTTCCTCGCCATGTACCACCTGGACTAGACTGTGTTGTTTCTGTGTCATATATTTTGGTATATGCATAACTTTAAAGGGACATGGTGGCTCAGTGGCTAAGACGCTGAGCTTGTCAATCAGAAAGGTCAGCAGTTTGGTGGTTCAAATCCCTAGCACTGTGTAACGGAGTGAGCTCCTGTTACATGTCCCAGCTTCTGCCAACCTAGCAGTTTGAAAGCACGTAAAAATGCAAGTAGAAAAATAGGGACCTTTGGTGGGAAGACAACAGCCTTCCATGCGCCTTTGTTTAGTCATGCCGGCCCGGCCACATGAGCATGGAGATGTCTTTGGACAGCACTGGCTCTTCAGCTTTGAAACAGAGATGAGCACTGCCCATTAGAGTCAGGAACAACTAGTGCATATGCACAAGGGGAACCTTTACCTTTACTTATGCATAATTTTGTATTTATTTTGTGATGTTTCTGTAGTGTATATTGGAGGCGGTAACCCCTTGAGAGCTGTATGCAACGAAATTTCATTTTGATGTATGCCGATTAGTGTACATTCAAAGGGAGAGTAAAGTTATTCTTCTCTCAATCATACGATAAAAGCAACAAAGTTATAGTCATTATAGATAACGTTCTAGACAACCATAAAGGTTAGGGTTAGAGTTAGATAACTATAGTATATAGAAGATAAAGGCATAGGGAAGATGAGATGATGGCAATACTGCCTTTCTAGAAGCAGTGGCTCCAGTGGATGGTTTCTGAAAGAGAAAATAATGGCCTGGCCAAGGGGGTGAAAAGGCAGCAACTGCGGCCTCAAAGCCTTGGCATAGGCTCCAAGCGCCAAAGCTTCTGTTAAGCCAGAGTCCGCTTTGGCAGATGCCACGTCCATGGGGTTGCTAGGAATTATTACCTGGCAGCCAGCAAAGAACAGATGGGGATGGGGGGGGGGCAGGGGGAGAGCAGGGTAGATAAGAAATGATTTGTTTTTTAAAAATCAGATTTTTTAAAATTTAAATCGGATGGTTTTTTTTAACTTTTACATTTATTTTAATATAATGCTTTTGCAGTAAAAACTGTCAGACAGTTTGCTATTCAAGATAGGGTCATAATTTAGTTTATTCAGCATGAAATGGAGCTTAGTTAGGTAGCATGAGACTGTGCATTCTGCAAATATTTACATTTTTGGTAAACTCATTCAATGAATCTAAGCTCTGCAAGCTGAGATAAAAGGCACTGCATGGATGCATTGACACAATTTCGCAGCAGAAATGGACAGTTTTTTTAAAAAAACGATTTAAATTGAGTTCAAGCCTTTTTGCTAATGATTTAAATCGTGGATTTAAATCACTAGGTTGATTTAAATTTATAGGGTGGATTTGATTTAAATTTAAGCGACTTGATTTAAATCAAATCCACTCGGGGGGGGGCAGCTATTATTGCCGTTATTGCAAAAGCCCCCCCAAGGGGGAGCTGTCTTAAGCCGATGCCAGGCCCACAGCCGGACCCCGAAGCACACAGGGCCCGCTACCCCTCCGATGGCAAGGCCCCCGTGACATAGAGGGAGCTCTGGATCCGTCTATTCACGGGAGGGAAGCCGGGAGAGGGGGGCATCCAGAGCACACCCCCCCCCCCCCGGGAGGCGATTCGGTTTCGGGGCGAGGGCAGGGCCCCCTCGAGGCCGCAAAGGGAGGGAGGCGAAGAAGAGGCTCCTTCTGGCCGCGGCCTTCTTTCCTTCTCACCGGCCCGTCCCCAGCATTACCTGCCCGTCTCCTAGCAACCGTCCTTTCCCCTCCCCCATCAAAATGGCGGCGGGGAAAGAGGAGACGGGGAACCCCCATTGCCCGCAGATGGAGCACGTGACTCGAAGAGGGAAGGCGGCCGTCGCCTGGGGCTCGTCTTTTCCACGGCGCACGCAGGCGTGGCGAGGGGGGAGCCAATCGGAAAGCGCGAGGGGGCCTCGTAAAGGCGGGCTTTTAAGCCAGCTCCGCCAAGGCGAAAGGGGAGTGAGTGGGTGGAGACACCGTGTCAGTCGGGCAAAGGCAGCCATTGCGCCTGCGCCGCGGAAGCCCAGAGACGGCGGCCTTGACAGCTTGCGCCTTGGGTGCCGTAGAAAGGAAGGAGGGAGGGGGGGAGGAGAAGTGCGGACGGACGCCTGCGCAGGCGCGGTAGCGTGCAGGCGCGTGGGGGGGGGCGGGCGCGCGCGCGCGCTCGGGTGGAGAGAGCCGCCGTCGCCGCCTCCCGGGCTGCGTGAGAGGATTTCCCCGGTGGTTGCGCCTCCGTCGCGGGCCGTCACCATCCCCGCCGCCCGGGCCTGCTCGGCCCCTGCCGCCGTTGGAGCCCCGGCAGGGAAGTCCCGGGAGCCGCCGGGACAGCCGGATCATGTCCGGCCGCAGCCAGAGCACCAAACTGTCCACGACGGAGCGCCTCGTGAAAGGTGAGGAGAAGCGAGGAGGAGGAGGAGCGGCCCACGCGGGCCTCGCTTTTCAGGCGGCGGGCCTCCCCCGGCAGCGGCTGCTGGGAACCGCCTGGCCCTCCCTCGGCGGCTGAAGCGTCTCCTTGGGCCGGGCTGGGGCCGTGGGAGCGGGGTGGGGCGGGGAGGAAGGCAAACGGCTTACCTGTCTTTCCCTCTTCTTCCCCCCCCCAGCAGGGATGGGGATGATGGGCTCTGGAATCCCATGCGGCCTCGCTTTTTGTGGCAGGCAGGCGGGATCCTCATCCCTTCAGCGGTGGGGGGGGGGGCTTTGCAGAAGCTTGCAGCTGGGTGGAGGTGGGAGCTATTAGAAAGCTATTTCTGGCTCCCCCCCCCCCGTGGTCGGAGGAAAAGATGCTTGTTGGGCCGGGGGGGGGAAATCAGTCCCCCCTCCAACCCACCCACCCACCCAAGAAGGGGAGGGGGCAAAGGGGGAGGTATTTTGACTGGAGGAGTGGGTAGGTGGAAGATGCTTCTCCTGGAAGGAAAGAAAGAAAGCAGCTCCCCACCCCACAAGAAGGAAGGATGTGCAAGGAGAGAGAGAGAAGGTGTCCCTGGAGCGGATTATAAAAGGGTTCTTAGCCGGGCTGAGATTCTGGTGCTTTGCTAAGAGGTGGGGGTGGGGTGGGGGATTTGAGAGGCCTGCCTGCTTTAGGGAAGCCCTTTGCCTTGGGTTTTATTGTGGGTGGCACAAGGGAGACGCTTCCTTGGGAAAAGGGTCTGTGATTCAAGTGCAGGTAGTCCTCGGTTTATGACTGCAATTGAAGATGTCTGTTGCTAATGTTGTGCACCAGAGACAAATTCCTTGTGGGTCTAATCACATGGCCAATAAAGAATTTTCTCTTCTCTTCCTTATTCTATTCCCTATTCTATTCTATTCCTTATCCTATCCTATTCCATATTCTATTTCTATTCCATTGTATTCTATTCCCTATTCTATTCCTTATCCTATTCCTTATTCTATTCCTTGTCATATTCTATTTCTTATCCAATCGTATCCTATTCCTTATTCTATTCCTTATACTATCCTATTCCTTATCCAATCCTATCCTATTCCTTATTCTATTCCTTATCCTATCCTATTCTATATCCTATTCCCTATTCTATTCCTTATCCTATGCTATTCTATTCCTTGTCCTATTCTTCCTTATTCTTTTCTGTTCTATTTTATTCCTTATTCTACTCTACTCTATGAAGTGATTCAGTTAATTGTTCCTCATTTAGGGCTTTTCTTGCCGCGGTGGTTGAGGGAATCGCTGCAGCTGTTCCTAACACAGTTGTGAAGCGAATCTGGCTTCCCTGTTGACTTGGCTTGTCAGGAGGTTGCCAAAGGGGGATCACGTGACCCCTGGGACACAGCAGCTGACATAAATATGAGTCAGTTGTCAAGCGGTTGAATTTTGACCACGCGAGCATTGGGAGCATGGTTGCAAGTCACTTTTTTCAGTGGTATAACTTTGAATGGTCACTAAAGGAACAGCTTTAAGTCAAGGACTACCTGTAGAAATCCTTGGATGACAGAAGTAGTTTGGAATGGCAGGTCACTGACAGGTGATATTGGTCCTGACCTTCTCTTGTGATTGGTCCCTTGGAACTGTTCCGAGATTGTATGCAAAGATTACCTTTAGGAAGTCAGTTAATCATCTATTGATACCTGCTAAATTTGACCACTTTTTTAAAAAAAAAGTGCTATAGGAAGGTAGGGCAGCACTAAGCCAAGCATGAATTTTGAAAGGGAGAAACATATACCCAATGATGGGGAAATTAGGTGCGAGTTATTGTGGTTGTAGGCTATCTGGCATCCTTCCTCCCGTCCTGAAGTGACATTAACCAGGTGATTAATATTGGAGGATGGTGTCATCAGACCCCTCAATCCTAAAAGACTTTACTATGGCATAAAGTTATGCTGCAACTAAGTCTTGGCAGATTCCGGATTTAGTTGTCTGGGTTTATATATTTAATGATTGAGGGGGAGAAACCCCTCCCCAATCATGTTATGGACCTGAAAGGACACACACACACCTTTTTTAAAAAAACCAAACAAACCTGGAGATAGTAAAAATAATAAGAATATGGAAAAGTGAATTGAGAAGAAGGAATGGATGGAAACTAATCAAGGAGAGAAGCAACCTAGAACTAAGGAGAAATTTCTTGACAGAATAATAAGCCTTTGAAATGGCTTGCTTTCGAAGTTATGAGTGCTCCATCACTGGAGACTTTTAAAAAGAGACCGGGCAGCCATTTGTCTGAAATGGTATGCTTGAGCAAGGTGTTTGACTAGAAGAGCTCCAAGGTCCCTTCCAACTCTATTGTTCAGAGACTATTTTAGCTTAAGGAGAGGATTTTGCAGTCATTTATCTTATTTGATACAATGTGATTCAGTTAACGAGACTGGAAAAAATGGATTGACTATATACAAAATAAATACGGGACCAAGAAATTCCAGTTAGCCTATGCTTAAGATCAGAAATGATTTAAACTGTTAAAAGTTAGTTCAGTAAGAAGAAGCTAAGGTCAATGTAGAATGTCATTAATTTCTTTATTTCTTTTTTCTCAATAGATTTTAGACTGTGTTAGTTAAAAATCCATACCGTGTACGGGTTCTGGAAAGTCGGGGGGGGGGAAGGAGGAGGGGGGTTGGGGGGTGGAGGGAGGGAGGGGCACACACACAAAAATTGTACTTCAATGTCTTAATGATTGACAAATGATGAAATATTTGTGTTTTTTTTTAAAAGAAATAAAATAAATATTTGACATGAAAAAGATACAATGTGTAGCCCCCTATGATCTCATCCTCCCCCCCCCTCCCAGGTCAAACACAATCCTGATGCGACCCTCAATGAAATCGAGTTTGACACCCCTGACCTAAAGGACTTCCTCAGTATCTGGAAGTATTGAACTTATCAGACCTAAACACTATAATTTTACAAAAGAACCTCATTCTTAGATGCTACCTGAAATAATTCTTAGATTCTTAATTGGGACTTGAATTATTGAGTTTCTTCCAATCTTGGACTGTGAATGAAATTGTAGATTACCTAAACACAATAATATTTTCTTTAAATAATAAGCACCTAGTTAAATTCCAGAAATTCAGAGTTAGGATGGATTCATATATTATGACCAATCGGTTATTTCATTTTATTCTGCTGCAGGCAGTTATTAGACATGTGCCAACTTATCTTGTGAGATCTGTTCTCCATTTTTTTCTTATTCTACAGTATTTCCAATCTGAACAGTTGCATTGTTATCGTGTACTTTGCAGCTTGATGTGGATTTGTCTTCAGAATGGCATATTGAAAGATTCCGCTGTTCTCATATTGTGATGCACTGTAGTTTGCTTTTACCATGCTTTGTTAAGTAGTCTCCAGCGACTGGATTTACATATTGTGCTAAATCAAATCATAATTTATAAATAATAATTGGATTGCAATGTGTTCTGAGCCAATGGTAAACAAACATTATGATTTAGCTTGTTTATGTGAACCCATTCACTGGTTCCATGGCCTTGAGATTTTCTTAAGTCACAGAAGACATCCAAAGCTTTATTTTTATTTTCCATTCTCCCATTCCTCTAATTGAAACATTTTCTTTCGCTTTTGGATTTCCCATCATCAATGTGTGCTTATTTGGAGAATTGTGCTTGTGGTCTCTGAGTAATAGTTATTAAAGGTTAATAATTTTCTTAATGTTATTAATGCTCAGAGTAGATGTGGGAGAAAAATACCTGCTTTGAACTTGCTTTTTATTTTAATTATGTAAAGAGAGATAGTTAAAGCATAATTAAAAAGCTGACTAAATCATTTCAGAGACTTCTTGGTATAGTTTATAAAGTATGTTTGGGTCAATTAAATGCATTTATGTACTCAGCCAGTTGTAGATTATTCAGTTAACCATTGTTAAACAAGTTATAGCTTAGTAATATATGAAGCTTTGGAAACCCTTGTGTGTCTAAACATTACAATGGATAATACTGTGCTGGAGTACTTATTGCTATGTTCATTGTTTTCGGAAGAGTTTACATGCAAAGATTTGAGCTTCAATATATCCACTATAGTGGAGTTATCCATTAACCAGGAAGCCCTAATTAACTCCCAAAAAGTATTCATTGGGTGATTTTGGGCAGTCCCCAACTTGCCACCAAATCAACTTCTGAAAATTCACAAGGTGCTTGTGGGAAAGGTACCTTATTCATTGCTCCAGATTCTTCAAAAGAAAAATGAAAAAAAAAATCCTAAATTGTGAAATATATTAATTCAATGCCTATAGGTAATTCATAGATTCTTTATTTACTTAATCTGTGCTATTAAATATTTTAAAAATGTATTTTTTCAATATTTCTGTTACAGTGATGTGTCTGGAAACATTACAACTTTTAATTGTGTTATTCATAATCTTTATTGAAACTGCTCATTCACATCCATCCAGTATTCCTAGAATCCATCATTCGTGCCAACCGTTGCATTTACTTACTGAGAAGTAGTAATTTGTTTTGTTGGCATCATTTTTAAAGCAATGAATTACCTTAAAGAGCATCTTTAAGGGAATTCTTAGCAAGTAACTCTTAAACAGTTTTGCTTCCACATCGTTCATATAATTCTTATAAAATTGGCACTAAAATATCTGGCATTTCAAATATTAGGTAGAAGGCAGTATTTCGGTGCTACCTTCTACCTAATATTTCCTAAGCGGAAAAATTCAGGAACAGATCAGACTTATTTCTAAAGTTGAATATAATTTTAACATAAATGCCGAAAGCACTAATCAGATGAGTACACCCAGTTGCAATGGAAATTGACAAAGCTACTGTATTTCTTTTTCAACTGTGAGGTTTATTTTTCATTTTATATACAAAGAAAAATAAAGAAAGGAATAAGCATAACAGTCTAATTTTACTAAATATGCATACAAAATTAAATTATTTAAATCACTTTAAGAAACATTTTTCTATATACTCTTCAAGA